TTTTTTTTTTTTTTTTTTTTGTACCAGGGATCAAACTCAGGACCCTGCACTGAGCCACACTCCCGGCCCAAACCTGTGCTCTTCACCTGAAAATTGTTCTCATCCCCACAGATCTCCTCCTCAGTGCTTGGGCAGACAGCAGCTCTCTGACCTTCAGACAGGTGCTAGTGGTTTTCACACTAACCTAGCCCAGCCCTTGGGGGGTGGGGGGACCTGACAGACACTGAGACTGAACATCCTCCACTGCCCGTTTTAAGGACACTCCAAGACCACATACCCCACCCCACCCCAAAGCTGAGTGTAGTGGTGCACGCCTATCATCCAGCACCTGGGAGGCTGAGGCAGGAGGATTGCAAGTTCAAGCCCCGCACGGGTGACCTACTGCCTTAGAGAGACCCTTTCTCAAAAGATAAACTAAAAAGGGTGGAGGATAGGACTCAGGACAGAGGCCTTGGGTTCGATTGCCAATACCCAAACACACAAACACACAAACAAGGCAACAAACCAAAAGAACTCCAACCCCACATCCTAAGGCCTGTCCGGAGGGCCTACCCTCTATTGGCTGAGTTCTGCCTAACAAAGCCTGCGATCCTTTTCTGTGGGGGGAGCTGAGGTCCAGCCTCCTCTTGAGAGGACCTCCGGGTCCCCCTGCAGGGATGGCACCAGGGAGAGGGTGTGAAGGAGCCGGGACCAGGCACCATGAGGTACCTACAGTCTCTTGGCTCCAAGGGGCCGCGTGGAAACACTGCCTCCTCCAGGAAGCCGGTCCAGAAGTTCCCAGATGGCTGGGACACCCCCACCCCCAGATGCCAAGACCTGGCTTGGGGCCGTCGGCCCCCTGGAGGCAGCATTCAAAGACTATTGCCCGCCTGCTCCATCCTTCCTGGCCCCTGGTCGCCCCTCCTCCGGCCCAGGGTTGGGGTGAGAGAGGAACTGAGGCCTGGGTGTGCCCGGCACCAACCGCAGCTGCCTCCAGCCTGTCCTCGCCCCACCCAGCAGCTGGGGGGGTGCTCCCCGAAGCGGCCTTGCAAAGCGGGGGCCCCCCAGCTGGAAGACTCTCAGCTCCACTCTTATGGGGCCTGTGGCGGGGAGACCCGTGGGAGAGGGGGTCCTGGAATCTGCAGTTTCAAAAACAAACCCCATCTGGAGGCTGCCAGGGGTTCAGCTCGTGCCCCGTCCCCTGTGCCCTGGCTGCAGAGGGCTCCATCCTCCTCCGCCACCTAGGGTCTCTCGGGGACCCCGACACCCCAGGGTCTCCTTGGTGGAGCAGATGCGAGGCCAGGCAGCCTCCCTGTCCTCCCGGGCAGCAGGCCGCCTGCCCCATGAGTCCCTCCGTCCCCTGTCCCCTTGGCTGCCTCTCCCCGTGGGTGCCCTGGCCCCTGTCCCGGGGTGGGTACTCACCACACAGCTCCTGGCCCACGGTGGCCTGGGTCTCCGGCCGGGCTGCCAGCTTCTGTGGCCCCCATGACCCTCGGCCAGGGCTCCTGGGGAGCCCAAGGCAGCACCGGCTGCCGCAGCCTGGTGTAGCCACGGCGTGACCCAGCTCTGCCCTCTACTTCCTCTTCCTCAACCGCCTCTCCGCGCCAGCTGTGTGCACAGGGGTCCGAGGAGAGCGCAGAAGACAGGGTCCCCGTCCACCCTCGCCCCGGGGGGGGGCCTGCCCGTGTCTCCGGGAGGAGGAGTGGGGTGCAGCGGGGAGGCGCAGCACCTCCATCCGCACCCCAACAGCTTCCTGCGGAACCAACCGCCCCAGCGGGATGGGTGCGGGGTGCGAAGACGGACGCACACAGGGACACACGAGTCACGCGTCCTCAGAGACGCCGGGGACACCGGCGCTGGTCCGCACGGTGTGCAGCACACGCCAGAGAGCAAAGGGTGCACACGTGTTACGCCCAGGGCTGCACACACCGCCTCATGCATGGACACACGTGTGCACGGGGTCACAGAGAGAGGATGCGGGGACACAAAGACGGGCCCTGGAAGTGCCAGGGACTCTGTCTCCAAAATGGAAAATAAAGAAGGCTGGGGATGCACCTCGCTGCAAAGGCCCTGGGTTCGAGCCCCAGCTCCCTCCCCACACACAGTTAAAAATGATAATTTTTGACGTCATAGGCATCACCGAGAGACAACATCAACCCCTCCTAATTATTTGTCAGCGCCTCTCTGTTCTCTGCGCCTCTGAGGCGGCGGATGTTCGCCGGCTCCAGGTGGTAGAAACGGGGTCACCGGCCAGGGCCACGGTGAAAGCCTCAGATCACGGGCCCTGGGGCCCGGAAGCCCCGCCCCTCACTCCCCGGCCCGGAAGACTCGAACTCGGGGCCAGAGCTCACGCGCGGGGTCCCCAGCAGTCACAGAAGCGCTCGGATTCGCACACATCTGCTGTGACCGAGTGCT